CACACACACACACACACACACACACACAAAGACTGGACTGCACAAAAAGGGAAGTGTAGGCATGGATGGATACATAAACTTTATTTACTTTTCCTTTAAACAAGGTGTCAAAAATAGCCTTGCTTACCAGTGTCATCGGCAGGCTCAGATGTGAGTGGTTTTGGAGCTGGTGTATTTTTGGGTCTGGCAGCAACCTGAGATGGAGATGAAGGTGTGTTGTCTCCATTAACTACATATGAGCAGCATGAGTTTTGGACTAGAGTGCTTGTAGGTACATGATTATCTATTCCATTCGTGCCTTCAACAGCCAACCTTGAAAAAAAAAAGCCTTATTTCAATCATTTAAGTACAAGTCAACAACATTTCATGAGAATTTTCATAAGAATTATTTATTGAGTTCTCTTGTTTCTTTTTTGTTATTTATTTTTTAAAAATTTTTTAGATTCTACTTCCAAACAATTGAGTTCTTACATTTCAAGTAAAATGAGAGGTAACGAACAAAGATATGACATGTTTTATATTAAAGTTTTAATTACTTTTCAGTTCTAAGTATATCCATTCTGCAGATAAAAAAATACTGAGGTATACAAACATACTAAGTCAAAATAAATAAGGTCTCTCACAAAAATATTCAAATTGTACATTTTAAATATTTAAGACTAATATTAGTCTATTTTAAAAGCTCTAAAAGAAAGTAGTTTCAAAAAGTTCATGAAATTATATGAATCATAAAAATCAAGTACAAACTACTGTAAATTTTCTTTTTTTTTTTTAGAGACAGGGTCTCACTTTGTCACCAAGGCTGGAGTGCAGTGGCTCACTGCAGCCTCAACCTCTTAGGCTCAAATAATCCTCCTGCCTCAGCCTCTTGATCAGCTAAGAGCACAGGCATGCATCACAGTGTCCAGCTAATTTTTTAAATTTTTGTAGAGATTGGATCTCCCTTTGTTGCCCAAGCTGGTCTCAAATTCCTGGCCTCAAGCGATCCTCCCATCTTGACCCCCAAAGTGCTGGGAGTATAGGTGTGAGCCATTGTACCTGGCATGAAACTATTATAACTTTATTAAATCTTGAAAAATAAGTGAAAAACAGTCTTCAGATATTGATTACAAATTAGCATATACGAGGCACTAAAATCATGACTACAGGATTATCAAAAAAAGCTAAATATTACACCCCAGAACTATAAAAATGTGTAGTATATACATTAGCAAATAAGTAACTCTAACAACAAAATCAAACATTTTAAGTCTTATTGGCCGTGGAAGGAGCTGGGTGATTTGGTGAGACACAGTGTTTAAAAAAAACAAACAAACAAAAAAATTTAAAGGAGTTGGAAATTGTTAAGTGGCCAGGAGTGCTTTTCCAAATACACAGGTCATCCCATATCTACTCTCCACAGAGCAGCCTGAGCATTGTTTTAAAAATATAAACCAGATCATCATGTCACTCTCCTGGTTAGCCAACAAATCTTTTGAAAATCAACCACACCTTTATCCCATCTTCTCTCTAACCTATTTCTCTCTGAGCTCATCCTTGCTCACTTTGCAGCAGATATCGATTTTACTGAATATCAAAAACATACTGAACAGTCTTCAAATGTTTATTACAAATTATGATACGCCAGGTGGTAAAACATAATAACTATGAAATTATCAGAAAAGTTTAAAGTTCTTCCCTCAGAACTCTGCACAGATGGTTCATTCTTGGCTTATTAATCTTAGCTCAAATCACACTTCCTCAGAGATGATTCCTTGGCATCTCTTAAAAATAGGCTCCCTTCCATTCCTCTCATCTTGTCCCGTTTAAATGACTTCATAGTGCTTATTGCTATGTCCAATTAGTGTATTTATGTCTTCTGTTGTTTACTATACATATATATACACACATATATGTGTGTGTGTATATATATATACTTTTTCCCCCCCGAGACGAAGTCTTGCCCTGTCGCCCAGAGCTGGAGTGCAATGGCGTGATCTCAGCTCACCGCAACCTCTGCCTCCCGGGTTCAAGCAATTCTCCTGCCTCAGATTCCCAAGTAGCTGGGATTACAGGTGCGCACCACCACGCCTGGCTAATTTTTTTGTATTTTTAGTAGAGTCGGGGTTTCACCATGTTGGTCAGGCCAGGCTCCTGACCTCATAATCTGCACGCCTGAGCCTCCCAAAGTACTGGGATTACAGGCACAAGCCACTGTGCCCAGCCTACTATCTACCTTTATCTCAACAGAATGTCAATTTCATGGGAACACTGCTGGTATTCTTAGTACCTGAACTAATGTCTGGCATCAAACAGGCATTCAGTAAGTATCTGTTGAATGAACAAATGATTAATGAATCCCACCCTCCTTTCCCTTGTCTGTCACCTATACATTTGGAACAAGATGTGTTTAGGAAGTTTGGGCAGGTAAAGACTGAAATGATTGTGATTTGTACACCCCTCCCGAGGCAACTAGCAAGAATCAGTGATTCAGAAGTCTAGGTAAAATAACCCATCTGAATTTCTCCTGGTACTATAGAACTAATCTTTAATTCAAAGAGTCTTACTATGCAATCGACAATATTTGGTAGTAATTCAAGCTCCTCTACCCATCTAAAATTTTTTTAATTACATGGACATTAAATATATTTACTTAAGCCAAATATACATTCAGAAGGCATACTTATCTGTTCAAGTGGTCTAATGAGAATCACTAAATGGCAAGTTAGAAGAAATGATACTAATAACTATAGATTAATAAAGGTCACACTTTGTGATATACCAGTATGCTTTTTCAAAGGTAATTAGTCCGTTTTACAACAGTATATTTTTATATTTTCAGGTGCTAATTCCACTTTATTTGATCTATTATATACCTTTATTCCAATCTAAATTACTTCAAACAAAAAAAACCTTTATTAATTGTCACGAACTGTGAATGCTAGGGTGTTTCTGAAATGTTAGAATGATATATCTGAGGGAAGGCCACAATGATGTCTGAAAGAAGGCCACAATCTGTGGAGCATTTACCTTCTCATGATTTACAGCATAATGCCAATCCAGAGAGTGGTATGATACCTATTTATCCATAGTAACTGACTGTACTTATAAAATACGTCTAAATACAGATTTTAAAAAGCCATTTTCAATAAAAAGAAATAAAGCACTGTACATGCTACAACATAAATGAACTTTGAAACATGCTAAGAAAAAGAAGCCAGTCACAAAAGATCACATACTGTATGAATCCATGTATATAAAATGGCCAGAATAGACAATTCACAGACACAGAAAAAGTAGATTTATGGGTACAGGGAAAAATGGAGAGTGAGTACTCATGCATACATGGTTTCTCTTCAGGGTAGAATGTTCTGAAATCACACAGTAGAGAAGGTAACACAACTATGTTAATATATTAAAAACTACTAAAACATATGCTTTTAAAAAGTGAATTTCATGATATATGTATGATATCTCAATAAAACTGTAATTTTTTAAAAAGCTACTTTCACAAGAATTAACCAAATGACATGTTTAGACATAAGCTTCTAAATTCTGTGGCAAATTCTAAACTAAGGTAAAATATAAAACTTCTTATTCAGGAAATATGTTCCACATCATGTCGCCACCCATATTCAAATAAAATATTCTACCTGGCAGTTGTCCTTGCTGAAGGCTCTCCATTTTCATGTAAGGCATCACCATTTTGCTGTATTTCTACTGAACAACAAGAAAGAAAGAAACTAGGTTTTTATATACTTCTTGCTCATTCTTTTTCCTTTAAATTTTACAAACATATAAAGTTAGCTTACTGGTTGGAGATGAGCTGCAGTTTGTTATATTTTCTTGCTCAATCACCAATCCATCAAGCACAACTGTCAATTCACCAGTTTGTGCTATGCCATTCTTGTTTTCCAAGGAAAGTTTTAATTGTTCTTTCACTCTTTCCACTAGAAAGAAGAATATTCTAATTTAAAAGCTTTTGCCATATATAAAAATGCTTCAGAAATCAAAATTACATTTCAAGAATCACTCTAATTCAGTACTTGACATTTGGAAGGAATTCTTTGCATGCCTTTGACACTTAGTTAAGTAATTCCTCTTTCCCCCTCAATCCCATGCTTTCAATATCACCTTTAATTGCTTCTGTGCATATTATAAATATTGGAGAACATATAAATACATCTAAATAATAACTGTAGCAATTATCTAAACTTGCTTTTCAGCTTAAGGTACCACAGAGGACTCTTGTGGCTGAGGCAAAATTTCTGCGCAAGAGTCAGGTAAGTTTGGTTTCAAATTCCAGTTCTGCTACTTACTGGCCGTGTATTCAGTAATTTATTCAAACGTCTTTAAGCCTTGGTTTCTTAATTACAAAATGGAGATGACGGATTTCAAACTGAAGGGACAGTGTTGAGGACCAAATGCAAAACCATATAGACAGCCCTAGCACCACTTCTGAGGCACAGTTTACGTGCTCGATAAATGCTACGTATTGTGACAATCGTTTATCATCATTTTCATATAAGGATAAATACTTCCTTCCCATTATTAGAACAACCAGTTCTTTCTTAAATTCAAGGTCATTTTGCTTCAATTTCTGTTAGACTATATATTTAGACTATGTATTAAGTGATATATTAGACTTCTATATATTAGACTATATATTAATAGTTATTAGAAGGGGCGTAGAGAAAAGGAGAGATGAAGGTAAAAGAATACAGCTTCAGTTAGAAAGAATTTTTGTTTCTTTGAGATATTGTACAGTGTGATTCACACAGTAAATAATGTGTGGTACATTCAAAATTGCTAACAGTAAATTCCAAATGTTCTCATCACAAAAAAAAAAAATAAGTATTTGAGGTGACAGATATGTTAATACACTTGGTTTAATTATTCCACATTGTATTAATTGATCATAACATCACTCCGTATCCCATAAATATATACAACTACAATTTGTCAATTTACAATTTAAAAATAAAAACTAAAAGAGAAAGTTATCAGTGATCACTTTATTATTCAAACTGAGGCCAAATACTTCAATCTGATCTTCAGTGGCTTTCTGCAGTTTTTGCAATCACAGAACATTTCACGTTTTAGATGAAGTCCTTAACTTTGATCTTTCCTATATTTGATCTTTCCTATATTTAACAAATTTGGGTGGGGAGGGGAGGATCTCCATTTACCAGATGCCCAGAATAAATATGTTCACAGTTATGTATGTACAGAAAAGACAAGACAAAAATCTAGAACTACTAATCACTGGACAGAAATTCTTTGTGGCTAGGCCTGGTGGCTCACACTTGTAACCCCAGCACTTTGGGAGGCCGACACAGGAGGATCCCTTGAGTTAGGAGTTTGATACCAGCAACACAGTGAGATCTAGTCTCTATAAAAAATTTAAAAATTAAGGCCAGGCATGGTGGCTCACGCCTCTAATCCTAGCATTTTGGGAGGTGAGGTAGGCGGATCACTTAAGCCCAGGAGTTCAAGACCAACCTGGCCAGCATAGCAAGACCCTGTCTCTATTTTATTTTTTAAATTAAAAATTAGCCAGGTGCAGTGGCATGTGCCTGTATTCCCAGCTACTCAGGAGGCTGAGATGAGAGGATCCTGTAAGCCCAGGAGTTCAAGGCTGCAGCAAATGATGAATGCACTACTGCACTCTAGTGGGAGTAACAGAGTGAGGCCCTGTCTCAAAAAAGAAAGAAGGAAAGAAAAAGAAATTGTTTGCAAAAAAAAAGTTTAAACCATGTAATAAAAGAAGACCTTATAGAATACTCCAACCATTTGTAGCATCACAGACCTCAATTCTACTTTACATCCCAAAAAAAAAAAAACCAAACAAAAAAAAAACCAATTAAACAACTAGAAAAACTAAAGGAAATACAAAAGCACACACACAAAAAAACTATAAAAGCAGCCAGGCACAGTGGCTCACGCCTGTAATCCCAGCACTTTGGGAGGCCGAGGCGGGTAGATCACAAAGTCAGGAGATCAAGACCATCCTGGCCAACATAGTGAAACTCCATCTCTATTAAAAATACAAAAAAATTAGCTGGGTGGCAGGCACCTGTAGTCCCAGCTACTTGGGAGGCTGAGGCAGAATTGCTTGAATCTGGGAGGCAGAGGCTGCAGTGAGCCCAGATCGCGCCACTGCACTCTAGCCTGGGTGACAGAGCAAGACTCCTTCTCAAAAAAAAAAAAAAAAGAAAACTACAAAAGCACAAATTTCAGCTTTCTCTAATAATATCTGAAGAAAACTATATTGACTGACATACAATTGCATTCTTGTCATCTCCCATGATTTCAAGTGTCTGGAATTTGGTGATTTGGTTTCTCCTTAAAATATGAAGCTGTTTGACCAGATTCCTAAAGAACAGCCTTTTAAAATCTCTTTAGTGTGTGTTTCTTGGTAAGTTCTTTCATTTTTATTTATCTGTAAATGTCTGCATTCTCATCCTCAAAAGACAGACTTGTTGGACATATAATTTTATATTGGTAATGATCTCCTCTCAACTCTTTGAAGATATTTTTCCACTATCTTCTCCTATTACTAATTCTGCAATTCTAATTCATAAATCTTTGCAAATACCCAGTTTTTCTCTACAGCTGCTTTTTAAATTTATTTGTCTTTGGTATTATGCATTTCACTATGATATGGGGAGGTAGACCAAAAAACAAAAACATTCTTTCAGTGGTAAGTGCATTGAAGGAAATGAGCAAAGGAGTGGTAAGGAGGTCTCCTTTAGGCTGGTCAGGGTTTGATCCTGACCTGGTCACCTAGTGGCCTGGTCACTACGCATGACTTTCTCTTTGCTCTCTTGTTTGGGACAGTATGAATCTGTGGACTCACGTTTTTCATTAGTGTTCAAAAACGTGCAGCCATTCTCTCTTAAAATATCTCCTCAAAAATCTGGCCCATTACCTATTTTTCATAAATAAAGTTTTATTTGAACACAGTCACACTCATTCATTTACATATTTTCTATGGCTGCTTTCACGTTAAAATGGCAAGTTAATTGGTATAACAGAAACCACATATGGCCTACATGCTCAAATGTTTACAATCTGTCTCTTTACGGAAAACCTCTGCTTCTGGTGGCTTATTCCCTTACGTTTATTATCTGACGTTAGCTTAAACTAATTTTAAGCTAATTTTTACCAGTGGTTTGATGATATGCCCTAATTTTACAGTGGTTTCATTGTACACCCAAGAGTGTAGACTAGAGGAGTTCAAGTTCAGCTCCCTTATCTCTGGCTATTAGCCAAAAGCTCAGCATCATTAAATCTGCTATTGGTATGGCAGACTATTCTAATTCTGGTTCATGAGGTTTTCTTTACCCCAATCCCCTCATCTCCTGGCTTTTTTTTTTTTTTTTTTTTTTTTAAAGAAGAACAGTCCTCTACCTTTTTGCAAAATCATCAATGCCACAAAGATTTGTTCAATCCAGTACCTAGGTATTCTGCAGTGGGAGGGTGTTTACAGTATATATTATTTCACAATTCTGAACATGGAAGATTGAGTTATAACATTTTGGATCATAAAACTGGAAGGACAATCACATAAATAATTCCCATCTACATGTGAATGTATATGTGTGTGTCAGAGGGAAAAAGATATTATTCTGTCATAGTATAAACAAACCAACTCAGACATATTTATCCATTCAATATTTGAGTGCCTGCAGTGTGCCAGGCACTGTAGCTGGGGAAGAAGCAGGACAAACCCTGACTAGCCTAAAGGAGATCTCCTTACCACTGCTTTGCTCATTTCCTTCAATGCACTTACCACAAAAAGAATGTTTCTGTTTTTCAGTCGACCTCCCCAAACGAACTGAAATCTCTAGCAGAGCAGAGAGATCTTGTCCAACTAATTCAGTGATGTATCCTCAGCAGCTGAGAGAAGGTAAGTGCTTAAGAAACATTTAAACTAAGTGATTAAGGTAGTCCTGTCCTAGGGGAACTTACTCTTACAAGGCAGAAGCTGATTTTTTTCGTACCTCCTAGCAATTTGAGACAGAACAACTTGAGTCTCTGAGGAGGCAGGTATATAAGTAGGTAATTTGTTCTATAAATCATGGATTTGTTGAAAACGTGTTTCACAGATTTCTATTTAGCTCAGAGCCACATTCTGAAGCAGTTTTTAAAAACTGCTCAATGTATTATCTATTGCTGAGTAACAAATTATCCTAAAACTTACTGGCTAAAAATAACAATAATCACTCATTATTGCCAAGAACTCAAGAGGGGCACACACACATCTGGCAGGTGGGGGTGCTGGCTGCTGAGAGGAGACCTCAGTGCCCCTCCACAGGGCTTTGTGAGAGTCTTCCCAATGGTTGCTGATTTCCCATGGTGAGTACTCCAAGAGAACAAGGCAAAAGCTAAAATGCCTATATGACTAAGTCTCAGAGGTCATACACCATCACTTCTGCCACAATCTAGTGATCACACAGATCATCTGTGACACAGTGTCGGAGGGGGACTACAGAAGGGTGTTGGAACACCAGAAGGTATGAATGCTTGGAGGCCATTTTAGAGGCTGGCCAACGTACTCGTAAGTATGAGAAAAACCAAATTTTTAGAAACAAAATGAATACATAAGGTTACATAGCTTGTAAGCGACAGTCCCAATAATAGCAAAGTTTTCTAATTCCTAAGTCTTTTCATTATATCATGCTATGAGTTAATGTTCAACAACTCACAAAGTTAAGCTCCCACTTCCTGCCATGTAACAAAAAATTTCAGAATTTATTTACTTATTTATTTATAATAAATCTGTAATCCTAGCACTTTGGGAGGCTGAGGTGGGTGGATCACTTGAGGCCAGGAGTTCGAGATCAGCCTAGCCAACCCAGAGAAACCCTGCCTCAACTAAAAATACAAAAATTAGTCAGGCATGGTGGCACGTGCCTGCAGTCCCAGCTACTCACAAAGTTAAGTA